CATAAGCAAAGCACACCGCACCGATTTCTGCTTCTAACTCAAGGCTTCTGCTTATGACTGATATCCAGGTACTAAAGAGGAAGTTAAGCAAAGTACCCACTGTATTCAAATAATGAGTTAAAAGCAAGCATGACAAACCTTATAGGGAAATTAAAGAAATAAGTGTACCTTTATCAATAGAAAATTAAAAGGTGGAACGTGCATGCATGCACACATTTGTATCCACATATATATTTTCACCCTTTGTTGGCATTCCCACAGAATTCCAATGGGCCAAGGTGGTGGTACTTGATTTCCGAATGAATAAATGCACATGTGCATGTGTTAGAATCAATCTAGAATTAAAGTTGCAATGTTAGAAGAGAGAGAAATAAAATATGCAGGAAGTATAAACATGGGAGTCTGGGATACAGAAGCATGTTCAAGAATATCCCATATTTTTTGCAGTATTAGGAACGTATTTTCAGTCATTGTTTTGTACACCTTGACAGAATGGACTTTTGTTGTTGTTAACTCGGTCATCAGTTGCCCTGTAAAAGTGCTTCTAAAGGCACAATCAGTGATGTTGAATGTGATATTTTGGACAAATAAACTCTCCTTCATAATGGTGTCTTAAATATAAAGCAAGTAAAGTTGTATACATAGCTAGTTTTAATGCATGTGCTTAGGAGAGTGATACAGGCAAAGAGGCACTTAGTATAATAGAATTATATAATTATAGAGTTGGAAGGGACTGTGAGAGTCATCTAGTCCAACCCCCTGAAATGCAGGAATCGTTTGCCCAGTGTGGGGCTCAAACCCACAACCCTGAAATTCTCTTTCTGTACTAATTGAGCTATCCCACTGCTTCTATTGAACTCGGTGGGGAGTGAGCATTCAGATTTTTCACATTGAAATAAGGAGTCTTCAGTTTGCTTAACTTCAGCTAGATTGTGGCCAAGATTTTTGTTATGTGCATGCCTGATCAAGATGCAGGAAGTGGTTGTATGTATACACCACTGGCAGCCAAGGACATGATCCGGGCATATTGATACCTCATTGATTTTTCAGTGAGGTATTTAAATACGCACTTGAGTCTCTCCTACTGAAATTAATGGGAATGAAAAGTCTTCAGGTTTGTTGGATGCTGTTCAAAACATCCTCTTGGTGTGGAACACTGAAACTTCTGGAGTTTGGGATGGGAAGCAAAGATATGTTGACACTGTCCAGTAGCACAGGATGGAGATCTCTTGCAGACTCCTTGCTGCTCATCTTTTGATGAAACCCTCCACCCAAAAAAACCTCAATACGTTATCTGCTCTTCAGTTAGGAAGAGTGATATGATCAAGCACCCTTCTCCAAAGCAGGCTCAGAGAAGATAATATGCAATTTCAGAGGGAAGTAGTTTTTTTGGCATTAATGCAATCAGATGCTGATCTCTACCTGGCACCTACTGAGCACTCCTTGAAGGGGTTCAGCTTCAAAGTGGGAATCTGAATGCTCACTTCCTACCATATTTTGTCACTTTTCATTAAAGCATACTGTACTGACATTTCTTAATTAATCCATGCAGCGCCACTGCAAGATAGGTATGTATGTCTTAAATATTATTCATTCCTGGCTAAGCAGCCACTAATCCATCAAATTATTCAACTTAGAATCGACGCATGAAAAAGTGGACGAGCTGCCCATTTCAAGTAAATGGAAAACACACTGGAATTACTGCTGCACCCTGGGATGTCTTATTCCACTTATTCGGGATTTAGATATTCAAAGCGATTTGATTGATTGAACATTCCCAGGTTATATGCAATTGCAAAGTTGTTGTTTTTTAAAAAAATCAAGCTGTTGGACCTATCATTTGGGGTTTGCATAGAAATTATGGTATTAAAAATAAGTAGGAGCTTATAAGAAAAAATGCTGCTGATATTTAAGTGATAGAGCAGCTTCTTCAGCGTTTTGCTGGCTGTTGGTTACTGGTATTGCTGATCAGTGCTTGAGATATTACAAGCTGCTTCATGAAATGCTGCACTTTGTTAATTGGTTTTTTTAAAAAAGAATAATCATATGGAAATTAAATGCTCTATTTAATTTCATCCAAAAACAATTAATTTCTCAGTGAACTGAGTCTTGATATTGCATGTTCTGAGCACATGATATTATTCAACCAATCAATATGTATTTTGATACATTTCATTCAACTGTTTTCTCCGTTTGGTGTTCGGTCAATATTTTTATCAGTAAATGTTTGTGCGAGATTAGGTTGCAAAGCTTGGAAAATCACGGTAGATTTCACATCTTGAGTAGGCTGATTAATATAATTTAAATGAGATGGTTATTAACTCTGCTGCATGTATTTGGTTCAGCTCTAATGGGCTTACTCTTACTTGACTTAGCAGCAATTAGCATCTGGAAAATCTAGTATGTAGCTGTAATGCAGGAAGCCTTATGCCAAGGCAGTGGAAGATGTTTTAAATGAACAGTTCCAGTGGTCCTGAAATAGACAAACATAATGTGACTGGGGGGTGATCAGAGACATGGAGCAATTTCACACACTTACCATACAATGGGGTGCATGCGTCTGGTGGGGGAAATGGGCATGTGTGCATGCTCCCACTATACAAAGAAGATATGTGTCATAGGTGACATGAGTGTACATCTACAAATTTCAATTTGTATTCAAAGTACTGCTACGTAGGTCTCTGCACAAGTGGAATGACTTCCCCTTCTGTAACCAGGTTTTTTCCTGCTTCCCCCTCCCCCATGTGCACTCCTAAATCTCTTCTGAGGTTTCTCCCAGCCCTTTCAAGCAGATTTGGGGATGGTGTGGAGCATGTACAGTTGGAGGAGATGGGGTGGGGCAGCCCCATTACACAAGCATAAGTCTTGATGCTTGTGCAGTTATTTAGTTGAATGCTACCAATATTTTTCTTACTGAAGGACGAACAAAAATCACCCAAACCAGGTGTACAATAAATAACTGTGTCATGTGCTGTCTTGTATATTTGATGTGGGAAGGGCACACACACAGGATCCATGTTTGGTGGGTGGGTGACCCAGCCCCAACAAGTTGGGTGACTTTGGTGAAGCTTTGAAGCCATTTTAATTACAGGAATTGTAGCTGGTTCATTATATCTTTGGTTGCACACTTTATGTATTATGCGAATTGATGGTTCTGGCTGCTCAAATGGCAAATAAGGGGTGCGGGGGGGGGGAATCATGTGAGCCAAACTCAAGATTTCTGCAAACATGGATTAGATTGAACATCTGTTTCCATGTGAACATTGTTTGATGTTTTAATTGAGGGGGGGGGAGTGTCTGCTTAGATTGGAGAAGAATATATGGTGGGTTTCAATAAGAATGATTTTTTTTAAAAAAATGGATATCATTGGACCTATCAATCATGGAAACTAGTATGCTGCACATTACTGGATATGCTAGCGTTGTTTATGAATAATTGACTGTTAATATTTATGAATCCTAAACATTATTGAGGGGGATCTGACACATTGTACCATGAACACATGTGTGCACACACACACACAACCAACTTCCAAGATGATTGCTGATCAGCTTGGAAAATGCTGATCACCTGCTTGCGGAGTCCTGAATATAGGTCTAATCCCTTTCCTACAACTGTTGTCCATTACGGTTAAAGCCAAGAACACTGACTGACTGGTCTTGGAGATTCTGGATGGGGACCTGTGTCCCTTTGACGGTCATTCAGTTGACTTTCTAGTACTGTGCTGGATAAATTTTTTTATATGATCAGGTATGTAGTTGCTGGAACATCAAATCTTAAATTCAACATGTATAATTACAGCACAGTTTTACATGTGACTACTTAGAAGTAAGTGCCATTGAGTTTAGACAGTGACAATTTAGACCAAAAGAACCACCAAGAAAGGGAATGCTAAGTTTTGTATTCATTTGCTTAAAATCCAATACATTCCACTGGTTCAGGGGTTTTTTTGGTACACTGTTAAATTACGATTTTTCCTCCCTTCTCATTTCAGTTCAAATCCCATTTCACTTCAGCTGATATTAAATGAAGCCAGCTTTTAGCTGAGCTGCTGCTTGGAATTATGAGTTTATGAATTTATTATTTCATTTGAATTATGAAGTTATCCACAGAAGAAACCAAATAATCTATTATTTAATTTGAATCAAAAAGTCATCCATAGAAGAAGCAAAACCTCAAAGGAGCTGTAGCTTTAAGTAGTTGATTAGAGGGATTGAAGGTGTTTAGAAATGCCCAACACACTGGGAGTCACCCACTTCCCCTGGGACAGCTGGAACATTATCTATGCGCTTCCTGAGAACACCACAAAAGCCCTGCATATTCATGGGTTGCTTCGCAATATGGCAACTTCTCAACCCACATTTTGCATGCAAAGCAGCGGATGTCAGAAAGATGGCTTGGAGCTGTGAACCAGGAAAAGTGTGTTGACTTGTAAATGCTATTTTCAACATGTCAGTGGAATTGTCAAGGTATGAACAACGCAAGAGAGAATTTCATTTGCTTATTGAATGAAGAAATTCACACTCATCTGTTTGCCTCTATGTACACATTTCCAGCTGCTCCTGGGGCAGGGAAGAAAGAAGCCAGGACTTCCAGGACAACAAACTCGCCAATAGCTTGAGTCAGATACGCCACACAATACAACTAATACAGTAAAATCTGGGTGATCTAGCCCAGGCATAGGCAAACTCGGCCCTCCCAATGTTTTGGGACTACAATTCCCATTATCCCTGACCACTTGTCCTGTTAGCTAGGGATGATGGGAGTTGTAGTCCGAAAACATCTGGAGGGCCGAGTTTGCCTATGCCTGATCTAGCCCATCCAATATGGAGGGGGACATTTCTTCCAGATCCTAACCATGCATATATCCTTGGTAACATAGGAGGCTAGAATATTACTGAGGAATATATCAGAGGTGAGTTGCAGAAGATGATATCAGAGGTGAGCTGGAATCACACAAATACTGGGGAAAATATTTTTTTTTAAAAATGGTACGAACCTCTATACACTTGGTTGGCATTTCTGCAGGCTTGTTGTCAATCATGAAGCGGTACCATCCTTGAGAAAGGGAATGATCGCAGACCATGTCCTGAATGGCAGTTTCCTGCAATTCCAGGGAATCAAAAGTGATGCTGCGATAAGCATTGTGCAGAACACGATGTCCTTCTGGCAAGCATTCTGGAGCTAACGATAAGAAAAAAGACATCTATTTTGCTGTGTCTTTTCTGTAAATAATAACCAATAAATCATTTGCGTCCTGAGTTTTACACTAAAATTACTGAATTCATGTAGTTAAGTGAAATGTCAGAACTCATACTGGTCACCTCTCTGGTAGTATTTTGAGACTTTTCTTATCTACCCAACTTCCAAGGAATTCTGAGATTTCTCATCATGAAATTACGTGCCAATCCTGAGTGATCCAAACCCAGCAGAACCATTCCATCAACATGGGGCTTGTGGAATGATGAACTGATCCTGGGACCCAATGCCATGCCAACCCTTGCCCTGCCTGCTGCTGTCAATAAAGATTTGGCCTGATTTTATCCCATCACCTTTGTACAGTCTGGCAACAGCTTAATGGCGAGTCCCGGCACCTGTTTTTCTCTCCTAAAAATAAAGCCCTGGTCCTTTGATTCCCCACATTAATTCTATAGATCTTTTTGAAACTTACCATAATAAGATCTGACCATTGTAACCATACTATGTATTTAGAAGAAAAGATACTGTAAAACAAAACAATAAAACAAACTCTGACTTATTGACTTTGTCTTCTTCCTTTCTTTGTAGAGCAAAGCAAATTACTCTTATAAAGCACCAAAAGAGCCAAAGCAGCTGTGGAAGAATGCACTAGTTTCATCTTCCTCATTCATCATCAAAAGAACTGTCAGTTAATTTCACACTGTGGGATCTTTATTACTGGTGGTGATGTAAGAAGTAGGAAAAAATAATACTGCTTTCCCCCCACTACCTAAGATTACATATGCAAAGATATCACTTAGAGCCACCATCTGTTTTTTGACTTGTAAATTAGGAATACTTTATGTTAAATCACTGGCATGAAGAAAATCTGAGGCCGTATTTCAACTGTCATTTCCCAAATTGATTCTGACCCTCTTCCTAGTACCGGTACTCCAAATGTGCTGAAGGAAGAGGACTGGAATTTGTGTAGCTGTTTTACCAGTGACATGATGATGTGTACATTTTTGATCATTTGGTCTATGGGCATGATACAGAGAAGATTGACATCCGTTGTTTTGATCTAGGTTGGTCATTATGGCAATAGTGACGAGATCAATCCAGACAAAAATGTAACGAATCAGAATAACTATCACATCTTTGTTGGGGATGTTGTAACAACATAAGAGTAGTAGGCAGTGCTTTTTTTCTGGGGGCACTCAAGGGTATGCAATACCAGCACCCCCCCCCAAGTGTTAAAAGTTTGGCACATACTGTGACAACTTCGTGGTGAGTACAGACACTTTACAAAATTATTATTTAAAAGCACTGGTAGCAGGTATTACTTTTGCTTATAAAAGTATTCACAAGGTGAATTCCTATACAAGTCTACTTGGAGATAAGCCCCATTGAGTTCAATGGGACTTACGTGAAAGCCTTATTTCTCTTCACCAGGGGCAGCACATCACTGTATTTTGTTTTAATGGTTTATTTTATTTTTTAAATTACCACTGTCCTTTATCAGAGAAGCGCTAGATCTTTTTCGCAGAAACCAGAGAAAATTGCTGTGGAAAACACTTTGTTTCAATGGCCACCTCCTCACAACCAAGGTTTGCCTTTGGCTGACCTAATACAGTGTCAAGAAAGTGCTGATTTATATACCATAGGTATTCCATAAATATGCAACATGAAAGCCACAAGGAATTTTCTTGACACTTAATACAAAACAAATCAATGGTTGTGAAAAGAATGCATGCGGTAAATGTATTTTGTTAAGTGAAACCAGGTTAGAAAAACTACATCAGGGTCTCACAGAACACAATCCTTAATCTGAATTCTGCTTACCTCAGCAGATGGTGTGGGTGAAGGCTGAATGGAAGAGGGACAACAGGATCATAGAGGTTTATGGGTAGGAGAACCACAGGTGCCTTGTCTTATGCTTTAGCAGATTTCTGCTGCAATCCTGTGCACACTGACCTGAGAGTCCTATTGAACTAAATGAGGCTTACTTCTGAACATGTACAGGATTGCACCAGGATTATCCGTGGTGTGGGGCTTTGAGAAGTGGCATCCCAGTACTGTGTCAGTACTGGTTGTGAACTTGACAGACTCCATCAGACTGAATAGGTGAAATATCTGTGGCTTGAAAGTGGTTATGCAAGAGGCAGGATGAATGCTCAAACTGAAATTATGCACCAGGACACAATAATTACCATTCCGTTGGTGTGTTTTTTAAACAACAAACAACCCCCCCCCCCGTCTTTATGGTTAGTCTAAACCAGGCATCCCCAACCTTTGGTCCTCCAGATGTTTTGGACTACAATTCCCATCATCCCTGACCACTGGTCCTGTTAGCTAGGGATCATGGGAGTTGTAGGCCAAAACATCTGGAGGGCCGCAGGTTGGGAATTCCTGGTCTAAACTGTTAGCATGTACCTTGCCTTTTCAAGCGAAATGCTACACTAAAGGAACTGCTGAAATGATATTTAACTAGGATGCAATAGAATTATTCTTGTTCTATTTCAAATATATAACTGTAGATTTCATATCCTTGTATATGCTATAGTCTTGTATAAACTATTTAGTGCAATGGGCATTGTGATTCCTCCCCCCCCCCCCGAGGAAGCTGTAAAAATTGTTCCTTATTATAAGCAGAATTGCTTAAACAAATTGCACAAATATGTACACTTATATTCAGTATGTCACTGAGAAGATTCAGACATCTGAAAGGGACACCAACAGTGCTGGAAGTATTCTTAAGACGCATGAAAGTTGGTTGTGACAAGTTGAATTAATGAACCTGGGCCCAGATAATTCCACTTCATAATGCAGGTAGGGGCACACTTTGCTGAATGCTTCTCCATGCAGAAGAATTCCCTCCACATGCAACCACAGAAGTTGGTGAGAAGGGCCTAGCCCTGAACTTGACATGCTCTACTTCACAAGCACAAAATACCTGAGTGTTTAGCTGTGAGCATAGGTGCTAAGGCAGTTTCACCCCTCAATGTATTTTGTGAGGGGGCCCAGCCCCCCTCAATGTTCAAAGGGTTTTCAGCTCTGTCCCCTAGCTCCTTGCAACATCGCATGTTTGACATCATGACGTCGCGCTGGGCCCCCTCAATCAACAGAGAAGATGGTGCCTCACACTGTGAAGCAAAGCAGAACATGAAGTTCGAAAGGTGGACTTGCTTGGCCTCCATGCATTCATTTTACATGTAGAGGGCCATGTTTCTACAATGGTACCTCGGGTTACAGGTGCTTCAGGTTACAGACTTCACTAACCCAGAAATAGTACCTTGGGTTAAGAACTTTGCTTCAGGATGAGAACAGAAATTGTGCGGTGGCAGTGGGAGGCCCCATTAGCTAAAGTGGTACCTCAGGTTAAGAACAGTTTCAGGTTAAGAACGGACCTCCAGAACGAATTAAGTTCTTAACCTGAGGTACCACTGTACATGTATAGTACTCATGTTTCCAAAAAGCCAAACCCAAACCACTTCCTTTAGCTACTTTTGGCCAGCCTCTTTAATATTCCTATCTCCTCCTGCTTTCTGCCTCCCGGGATACTGGTCCTGAAACCATGCTCTGTGCAGTTTCTACAAAACCTCACTCTGCTGAGACCTTTCCCTCAATTTGGAGAGTATGCCAACCCTTTTCCGCAATTAGGTTTTTTGAGGGGCAGAGGGGAAGTTCCGGTTGACATTTATGGAGTTAATCCTATATTTATGATTTACTTGTTGGTACTTGTTACCATAGTATTACAAAGTATCCAACACCATAAGCATTTCTAATAGTATTTGCAGTAGGAGAAAATGAGTGGTGGGAAGAAAAAGAATTTTTTATTTTAGAAATATGGGTCCCTAGTGAAATACCTAATCAATTTATTCAAACTTATTATCTAAGTAGTTATAGCTGAATCTGTAAATGATTTCTTATGGTGCCTGAATAAGTACACTTTCTTTCTTTCTTGTATAAAAATGTTACTCTGGAACAGTCAGAAAGCAGCATTTGACTTGCATAAAACATGAAAGTACAATTTGCCTGGGAGGAAGGTCACTTATCATCCAGGGTCTTCCATGAAGTAATGAACATGCTGTTGCCAAAACACTGGACAGCTGTGCTCTCTGTTTAGTTGCCGAGAAAACAATTACCTTTTCATATGCTGGTCTGTTAGCTGGAGTTTAATATCTGTTCCTCATGTGTAGATTAGGAATGATTGCATTGAGGATATGAAACATCTATTATAGTCAGACTTTCCCGAGAGTATTTACCAAAAACAAAAAACAAAAAACCCCACATACTGTAGTTTGCAGCCAGATGCAGAAGAATATAGCAAACCATTTTTCCTCACAGATGTTCAGTTCTTCTTGGAAGAGGCTAAGAGACATGAATACTGGAGAAATGTATTAAGCAAATAGGCCTGGGATATCTGTATGTACATGTGCATGAAATCAAGTGATTCTGAAGGTGGAAAGATTCTGAATTCCATAAATTACAATCCCTCTTACACAACACTTGAAAATGGAAAGAGTGGAGTAATTTGACTCTATGGGACTGACCAGGCAAGAAAACTGACTGGTACAGTGACAGAGGAACAAGACTGTATATGGTATATTTTCTCACAAAGGGGGTAATTCCTGAATCTGCCCGATGTCTTCAGAGTATGACCATATTCATCAACATCAAATTGACACAAGGCAAAATGGTGGAAGAAAAAGATTAACAAACAATTCTGGAAAATGTATCTTAATTGAAAGGATTTTGGCCTGACAAGCCAAACTATATTAATGTCTGCATTAGATTTTATTGGCTTCCTAACCTGCATAGATTTAGCAGCTTTCCGTGCTGCTATGATGATAATGAAAAATTGTCACAGTGTCATTTCTTGTGATGTCAAGCCAAAGAAACAGTGAGCATTGTTTTCGGCTACCACTCGTCCTGTGGCCAGCTAGAAAATACCACTGTCTTAGTTGCTAATTCTAGCTCTTTTACTGACTAAAACCTGTAAGAAC